AAGTAGATTATTGTTGTTAACATAAGAATGAATTTATAGACATTTAAATTTTTATTTTTGAATTTCTCAATTTCTATGTCAGCTATTTAATATCTCTTAATAAATTAGTGTATGTACAAATTTCTATACAACGGCTGCAATTAATATACTATTATATATAATTGTATATTATGGAAAAATTAAAAAATTGTATTTAATTTCTAATTTTGATATTATTTTTTTAATCAATGAATAAATTTTGATTTAACAAAATATTTTATATATTTAAGATAGGACAAATACTATTATATAAAATATTTAATTGAATGGGTTAAAATGTTTAATATTAAATATATATATATATGTATATATGAAATATTAAAAATGTGTTAAAATATTTAAATTAAAACAAATATATAAACAAACACATAGACCTTTCATATTCATGCTTAATTTCAATAAAATTAAAATTAAACTGCTTTTTAATGAGTATACAAATTTTAAAAAAAATAAAAATAAATGTTATAATTATATAAAAATAATAATGGAATTGCTTAAAATATTTAATATAAAAATAAATAAAATTTACATAAATTCAAATTACTAAAATGTTAAATTTGTTCTTATTATATCAAAGCAATAACGAACGGCAACAATTATAGCTAACAATTATAGCTAAATGGATGAAGGTAAAATACCAAATTGGAGAAAATAAAAATAAACACAAAGTTAGATGCGTGTTGAAAAAATAATATGAAAAAAAAAACATAATAAGAAAATACTTACACAAATATTGTAAACTTTGAAAATTAAGTTTTCTAACGATGAACGATATAGGATATTTCTTAAAATTCTGCATTAAAATAATATTGTTATTTAGAATTGAAATAAACATATATATTCTTTGAAAATAAGTATAAAAAGTACTTACAAATTGTGAATAAAATAATTTCTTCTAGTTAGATTTTTGTCCGATCCAAATGTTGTCTCCAAATCGTCTTCGAATATTGGAGGATCATTCAAATCAAAATTATTGATATTTTGATTATTGATTGTGCTTTCTCTATTACTTTGAACCCGACCTCTACTCCTTCATCTGTTTTCATTTCCTCTCCTACAGGTAGTTTCCATTCTTCGTGTTTGTTTTCTGGCTCTAGTTCTCTGAGCAACTTCATAAGCCGACATTCTACGATTACTCCTCGGTCTTCCCCATGATGGAGTAACATGAGGATCATATAAATGAACACCTTCAACGTCAAGACTTTCGATTGTTGGTACCAAAAAATTATTTTCATCTATTGTAGGCTCCCAATTTACAAGTTCTTCTTTCAATCCAATCCATTTTTCCTCATTTTTTGAGGATTGTCCATAGCCATATCAACACATTCTTGAAAATATTTTTCAACTTGTTAAAATTTCTTAAACTCTTCCGTCATATGTGGGTATCCTCTCTTAAAAAATATCGAATAATGTCTCATTTGCACATCTTTTCTCCATCTATTTAAAATGTATCTTCCATTAATAAATTGTATGTCCTTAACATCATTACTTTAAATATATGAGAACAAACTATTCCCTTAAGTTCAAAGCTCTTGCATTCACAATCAAACTATTCTCCATCGAGATGATATTCAACTTTATAAGTGAATTCATTCATAAAGAAATTATTTCGAAGTCTCCTCTCCATCATAAAAAAAAAATTCTCAATACCAACTTCAACAACATCATCTTCAGGACCCGGAATAATATTGCAATATAGCATTCGGTCAATTTCTTCTTGAAATTTTCTAAATATGGCATTTGTGTAAACTTTTTGGAATTGAGCTTCCCATAGAAATTCAGTCTTACATGCCTTAATCTTTGTCTTTGAATCAAAGTCTGCCATAAATTCTTTTTGAATTTTCTTGTCAATTGCCACTTCATATTGTTCAATGAATTCCTTCAACGTGCATATTGAATGGATATAATTATAAAAATATGTGTGCATCCCTTCACTTCTTTGTGTCGAAATCATACCATCCCAAAACACGTGATTCAAATAATTGAATCCACTTTTCCTTTTCAGAATATAAATCTTGAAGCTAGACTTTGTTTTCCAATCCAATTTTGACTAAATAATCACCCCAATTTCTTTCAAAATTAGAAGCCGTAATGCTGTTATATACGATTCATTTGAATTCGACAATCGTCTTATTATACTCCTAAATACCCTTAAACTTCAAAGGCAATTTCGACATTATATGCCACAAACAATATCGATGTATAGTGTCCAGAAACACCTCTCTTATTGATATTTTGATGCTTTCACATTGATCGGTCAATATGGCTTTAGGTCGCACCCCATCCATTGCTTGAACCCAATTTTCGAAAAGCCATTTAAATGAAGTTGAGTCTTTGCGTGTCACCAGAGCACACCCTAGCAATATAGATTGATCGTGATGATTAATCCCAACAAAAGCTCCAAACGGCATTCATACTTATTGACAAGATATGTCGTATCAAAGATCACTACGTCATTGAAGTCTCAATACGCAACTCGACTTCTCGGATGAATCCACAATACATTTCTTAACCTTCCCTCATCATCAATGTCTATCACATAAAAAAATTTCTATCTTGATGTTGCAATCTTGCAAAAAGCTTTCGAATAGCTTCTGCATCTCCATCACCCAATCTCAATATTCTCTTGCTCTCTATAAAATTCCTACAATATTTTGGAAGACATCTAGGTTCGTTCGGTTGAAGGATTTTAATAAAATCCTACTATTCATCCAAAATTTTTCCCCCAAAAATATCAAATAAAACACCTATTTTTCATTTTTTATATTATACTAAAAATTAATTTTACATTCGTTATATAACATCATACAACTATTCAAATTTAAAATTTTTACTATTCAAATCTCAATTCAAAATCCAAACTCCCAAACAAACACACCCCTAATGTTTTCAGGACCACCAGCTTGAACTTCACGCAATCAAATGTTCTTACTTGGCCTTAAACCCGCAATATCATTTGCCTCCAATTTTCTCTTCATGTGTACACCAATTTTCTATGAGCCGGCATTAACATTGGTATATTTGGATCAAGATCATGATTGTGTGTTGTAACTGTTTTCGAAATAATCCATGATCCATCTTCTTTCTTTATGGCATTGAGATAGCTGGACATCCTACTCTTTTGGAAATCTTTTGTGCAGATGGTATTCATGATTTATCACATACTATTGATAGTGTTGAAATATACTTTCATAACTATCATGTACTATTCATTTACATGGCCCATCAATCTTCTCAAATTGTTTTTCTTCTGGATTTGCATCAATGTTAAGATGTTCATGATACATTATTGCTCAAATTGATTTTTTTTAAAATTTGCGTCAATGTTAAGAGGTTCATGATATATTATTAATTTTAAATATTATCAAAATAAAATTAAGACTATTCAATAGTAATAATAATAATGATATGATTGTAATGATAAGTGACGCATTGACTAAAATGATTATTAGAACTAATAAAAATTAAAAAAAATTAATTATAACATTGCTATTAAAAAAATTACATATGTTGTTTCCGAAGACTATTGATCAATATAAATTAATTAATATTCTATACATATTAAAAATAAATGATCAAAATAATATAAATGAAGAGACTAAATTATATTAAAAAAAAGGCTTTTATTCTCTTTTCTAGGAAAACTTTGTTTTATTAAATAATTTTGTCTTATTGGTCTTGTTGTCAAGTATTTCAAAAGATGTGAAATCTAATATCTTCGGAATTAGTTTGTTTTTATAGGTTTTTTTTTTTGGACTAATATATTTTTCAAAACTATTAAAATATTGATTTTTTAATTTTTTTTTACTGAAAAATTCAGTTTATAATTTAATTTTTATTTTTCATCTCAATTGAAAGTAAAAGTGTGTTTAGTTATTTTTTGTGAAAATTTTTATGATGTTTTTAAATTTTATGTTCTTATTTATTTTAATATAATATTTATATATGTATTTAAAAAAATAAAATATTAACAGAAAATATCTAACTATCAATAATATTTTTCACACCATTCTAATCTTATTCGTATTTCTTTTTCTTATGTCTTTTCATTAACAATCTTCCAAAAAAAGGTTTCTAACTAATTTTTTTCTAATATCTAATAATCTAAACATTAGCAACATTAAATCATTATTTTTAATAAATTATACATTTTCAGATGGTATAAATTCATTATATAATATATAGACAACTATACTATAAACAATAAATTCAAATAAACATATATATAATTATAAATTTTAAAAAGAAAATACTGCATAAAAAATTATTTATCTTAAAAAAAATATATCAATAAATTTACTAGCCAATTCAACATCGAGTTCGGAATTTTGGTTAACAAGAATTTGCGTTTGAATATATTTATTTACGAAGTAGCTTGAAAATCTTTATATTGATTATTTTCTTCTAAATCACTACCAAATAAATCGTATACAATATTTGCTATATTGATATCTATATTTATATTTTAAAAATGGAAAATGAAGTATTAGTTTAAATAAAAGAAATAAAACTACAAAATTAATTGTTAATTGCTATTCAAAATATAAAATATGTTATTCAAGAAGAATTCAACGATCAAATTTAATGATAAAATACTTTTTATATTTTTAATGAAATGTAAAATTTATCAATAAATAAAAACATAATCGTTATATTTAATAAAGAGAAATAAATAAATTAATAGAAATATAATAGTCTTTTTACTATTGGGTATGTTTTTTTAAGTCACTTTCCTCGAATTTTACTATTTGAATTCTGTATTTTAAAAAAATATATATATTTTTTTCATCTCACAAAATATTCCATCAAACATTATTTTCATATGAAACCAAAACTATTTTTTTTTCCAAACTCATAATAAAAAAAAAACACCCATATTATTACATAATTAATAAATATTATGGGCTGCCCACCATTTAGCAGCTCCCTATATTTATTATATAATAAAAGATCACGTTTAAAACCAAATGATGGCTCTTACAGATTTTTAAAACCTTTATCCAACAACGAGTTGTCTCGTTCACAAAGTACGGCGAGTCCTATGGCCACCGGATTTGTCGCCGCCGCCGCCGCCGCTTCTATTTCTCCGTCGCACTTATCGCTACACATTTGGTCTTCCTCGCGACTACCTTTCTCTTCGCAGCTTCTAAATAATATATTGCCTCACGACCCTGCTTTCAAGTCATTCCCTCCACGGAGGCTTGGACTGGTGGCTGCTGCCAAGTCCGATGACGGCGATACTGAAGATTCTTCAGCTCCACTCCCTTCATGGGCTCAGCCCGGCACAGATGAGCTTCCACCATGGGCTCGCCAAGAATCCCAGAGTGCCTCTTCGTCACAGGCAGTTCCCTTCTATGTCTACTTGCTTGCTTCCACTGTAACTGCCATTGCTGCGGTAAATCGACTTTATAAATTTTGGATGATGATTCTTTTCAAGGAAAAATCTCTTAAATTTGAGGGAATTTGTTTGTGGTGATATTCTGAGGTCTATTTAATGATGCTCTGCTGCCCTTAGAGTACTAGCTAAAATGCTTGATTAGGTTTTGGATTTGTTTATGCAGGTTGGTTCGATCTTTGAGTACGTGAATCAAAAACCTGTTTTTGGTGTTTTGAATTCGGACAGCGTGTTCTATGCTCCATTGCTTGGATTCTTTGTGGTCACTGGCTTTCCCTCTTCGGTGAGATATTTAGCTCTATGATTTATTCTTGTTTACCTTCTGTTCTGAATAGTACTCATGCTTAGTTGCTATATGTGCTCGGATAATGTGCTGTTCTCAATATTAATGTTGAGTAAGCATTGAAATCTTGGGCATTGTCTACTAATCGTATGCGATTATTTTAATCTATGCTTACTCTAGAATAGATTATGATTCTTTTGTACCCATTGAAGAAATGATAATGTTGTATAAATTAATATACATACCCTAAGGGGATGTGTTTGTCGTAATTGATGTTTCAATGTAGGAGATGAGATTTTTGGTGTCGTTTGTACCATGAAGAGCATGCTCCCTAGATAACAGTAAGTGCCTTGTTTCCATGCACAATAGATGCATCTATGCCGGTGAGGTGGTAGGATTTATCATAACTAGCTTAACAACTTCCTCATTTTCTATTTTGCCTTTTCTTTGGGAGCCATGGCTGCTTGCACCAGCATACCAACCAACCCACGGTTCTTCAAGGCTAATATCTGTTTTGGCACTGACCGGAGATGAGAGCTTGACCTCTGTAAGAACAAGATTCAATGGAAGTGGAAGTAGAAGATGAAGAATGGATCCGCTATTTGAGATTCAAAGCCATGAAATTACTTTTTACGGAAAGAGTACAAAGACTCAATCCAAGCCTATACACAGATCATCTCTTCAGCCAAGAAATCATTTTCAGTAACAATTCAGAAGTAGCCAGAGTCACCAAGCTGTAGAAGACCCTCTGTCTGTCCATTTCAGATTGGGCCGAGGCCCAACCATGGCTGCAGGAGTTCACTGAAGCATTGAGGGATTATGAAGAGGCACTGAGGATGGAGAAGGCCCAGTTCAAGGCTCTCCTTTGTAAAGGTAAAATCTTGTTGAGTTTAATTGGGTATGGAATGGTTATGAAATGTTTCAAGGCCTCAAATCCTGAGGTAAATGAGAATTCCGATGTGGTAAATCTATCCCTAGGACTGGGGAGCATTTGATGCTTCAGACTGGGTTTGGAGTGGCTTCCACTGGAAGGTGCCTGAATTGGCTGAATGTATATCTCTGTGGATATCAGGAGGTCCAGGATCAGTGGACGTGGGATGTTCGGAACCAAGAATCTTGAGAGTGGCGCCTTGTTGTGGATTCTAAGTTATTGCTGTTGACAAGGATAGTGAGCGTGGGATGTTTGGAACCAAGAATATAGAGAGTGGGATGTCCTGGAAGATGTTTGAAACCAAGAGTGCCTCAAGATCCAGGGGAAATTTCCCAACTGGTTATGATGAGAAGGGAAAGGAAGTTCTTGACATTGGATAATTTATACTCCTTGCAGAGCATATTGATGTCTATGATGAGAATCTGGAGAAGGGAAGATGATGACGAGAAGGGAAAGGAAGTTCTTGACATTGGATAATTTATGCTCCTTGCAGAGCATATTGATGTCTACGGTGAGAATATGGAGAAGGGAAGACTTCACGAAAATGCTGTATGTGCAAAGGTTCATGGGAAGAATGTGGATTATTAAGGCATCGGGGTTATGGATCTACATTTATTATCCGCCATTCATGTGATCTCATTGTGCAGTGCCTGTATATTGGCGTTCATGTTGTGGTTCATGCTTCTAGAAATGTTGAATTAGGGGAAGAATTGGCAATTTTCTGCTTTGATTTGGTGTAGGCTGAACTTCTGGAGAGAATTGGGGATCTAAATGCGGATGTAGGCTGTGCAGACTCGAGGAGTATTTGTGCTGAAGCAAGGAGGTAGATTGAGGCTGTAATGGGAAAAGGGGCAGGTCGGTATGAGAATTGTGTTTGATAGACTTGAGGAAGGCACGAGGAAATGAATGGATAAGGGGACGTGGAAGGGCTAATTGCGGACCTCATTTTCGGAAGCTTATTCAAAGCTTTACGGGTCCAAAAAGATGCTGATTGAATGGCGAAGATGGCTGATTTCATGGAGGGTATATAGAGAGATGGGATTGTTGATGGAGTTGTGACAAGGAAGTTGGGAGAGGGATCTATGGCAACTGTGATCAAAAAAAGAAAAAAACTAGCAATGAGGGTATTGCTATGCTACGTTTTAGTGGAAATCGTGATTGATAGATGATATAGTTGAGTTCCATTCATCTGTGCATCTATTGTTTTTCTGAAGTAATATTATTTGCTTCATTTAAATGCTAAAGGCTGAATCTTTTTGTTAGGAAAAAGGAAAAGAGATTTCGACTTTCTTCTTCTTTGATATTTCCCTTTCCTCGTTAAAATCGTAACCAAATAAGATGAAAGAGGTTTTGACTTGTGTTTTCTTTTCTTAATCAGTTGCTTTCAAATCCCTTATACCAAATGTACTGTAAGAGTGTCCATTCAACATGTTTGGTTCCTTCATCATCTTGTAAAATGGATTGAATTAACCATTTTCGCTTTGATAGATTAACATTACTATTCAGTTCTGTCTGTTGGGATCTGCAATTATATTTTGTCGCCTGTTCAAGGCATGACTGACTATTTAATGTATCTCTTGTTCGAATCCAGGCATTCCTTTGGTTCAAATCTGTTCAAGCTGCAAATAAAGACGCTGAGGAGCAAGACCGGAGGGATGGATATCTTTAGAGACCTGTCTCGTATCCAATAATGGATTATGGATTAGTCGTCGTGTTCTTATACACTCGGGTCTTTCTAAAGATGTATAAAGCTAGATAAGTTCTCTAACATCATTTTTGTCGTGTACACAGTGTTATGTACTCATGTATTTAATAGTAGCTTGCTATCTATGTTCTCCAGTGCCATTTGATCTCACTGGTCTTTGAAATAACATTGGCTGATTTGGTCATTTGAAATAGGTACGACTAATGTAAATGTACACTACAAGATAACATATATATACTCTCCAAAAATCAATTTTCCTCACTGGTCTTTTGCTAACATCATCTTCAAATTGATCTCTTTAATAAAATTTCTCTCATCCCCTGTGAGACTGTATTCTTTAGCAAATTTGTCACCAAATCAATAGAAATACTTCTTTCAATGAAATAGGGGTCTTATTATATATATCTATACGGCAATTCACACACCCTGGCAAAATCATCGATATTCACTACTTATTCATTTATATTTGAAAATACGAAACAATCATGATTAATATTTCAATAATTTAAAAGTGTAAGTTCAATATTAGTGATAGGCCATTTTTTTACGGGACAACATATGTTATTTTAATCATTTCATGATTACAAGTTCACCCTCTCACTACAAGATATTCTTTGCGGGATTACATATATTATTTGATTGGATATATAGATTGAATTCACAACTTATGAGTAAAATTTTTTTAGATAAAATATGTCTTAACTTTGAAAATATCATTTTATACAGAAGAACCAAGGTTGTTATGGCGAGGATTTAGGCACGACGCCATCGGACTGCCATATACCTTGGCGATACGGCGCCCGATATGACGACAATATGAAGATACGACGACCTGCTTAGCGCTTATTATAAATTTTTAATATTTAATTATACAATATAAAATAATAACATTAAATCACTAAATTTTAAATAAAATATCAAAATACCAAAAAATATCAAAATACTAAGCATAACTATCAAAACACTAAAATATCAATATGTCAAAATATGAAAGTTTCAAAACACAAAAATAAAAAAGTCTGTCAATTTCTTAAATTCACATTAGTCTTCAGTATTCATATCATCTTCATCATTTACTTCATCCTCATTTGTCAAACGTTTGTTAAAAGGGCCATGGCGACGGTCATACATGATGGGCGGACTTGAGGATTCACCACCACCTCTACTACGAATATTGGAATTATTGAGATTATTTGAAACAACTACGGCTTTATAACATGATGGCACTCAAGATCTCCATCTTCATTAACTAAATCTCTAGAATCATCAACCGATTCATTTTCCCATTGAAAATTTTCAAGAATCAAGGGATTAAAATTGCTTCCCTCTTCCCGCCGCTTTTGAAAGCAATGTGTAATCTTCCAATTATATTGAACATACACTAAATCATTTAGTCTTTGGTGCTCAAGTCAATTTCTTTTCTTGGTATGAATCTAAAAATAAAACTTTATATCAAAATTTGAAGATTATTACTAAAATATTAATATAAGTAAATTTCGAACAAATTTACTTACAAATTCAAATGTGCTCCAATTGCATTCACAACCGGAGAAAGAGCAACATAGACTAATAGTCCGTACGGAAAGTGATCGAAGTTCTTCGTTATCACTACTATATGCATCCCACCAATCAACTAAAAAATATATAAAAAAGAATATGTTCAATATGTGAAATTAAGTTTCATAGAAAATAAAAATATATATACGTTAAAAATACTTACGAGGACTCTTTTGCATTTGGTGCTTGATTGCCAATTGACGGTCAAAGCTTCATCGTATTTTATCGTAATTATTTGCTTGACCACTAATCTTATCCATCAATTCTTCATCTTTAACCATCTTTTCTAAAATATCATTAAACAACTGACGTTGCTTACGAGCAAATACGAGATCACTCCTCTTCAATTCAAAATATTTTGAAGGATTTAGGAATAGTGCAGCCCCATATAACTTCATCTCTATTTGATTGCTGCATCGATCCTCAATTATTTCCATCAATTTGGCCAACAATCTTGTTTTGTTATTGCCCGTAAAAGATTCAGTTATTTTCTTCTTCGCATGATTCATAGCCAAAGAAAGCTCAGGCATGATTGACTTTTCATCACCATCAACTATCATCAAAACAATCAAAAGAGGAAGTGTTGTTCGTAAACAATCTTCTACCTGATCCTAAAATTTCGATGAAATAATGGTTTCCATCACTTTTTTTTCTTTTAATGTTTTTGACAGCTTATTATCGCTCAAATCATCATTCACAAATAACTGCCTCAATTCATTCCTATATTTGTTTAAACTCTGCAAAGTGAGAAATGTGGTAGCAAATCGGGTAGTCACCGGCCTCACCAGATCTCTGTCACCGGTCTTTTCCCTCATTGCACTGAGAATTCTCCCATGTCGATAAATAGAAGTAGTGGCGTCCCTAGCCTTTTGAATGTAGGGTTTAAATTCATTCATTTTCTCAATGTCTTCTAGTATGAGATCGATACAATGAGCTGCACATAATGTAAAAAAAAAAAAACCCAGGAATGCGCTGTTCAAATAATCTTCCCACCGCTTTATAATTTGCTCCATTATCCGTCACAATTTGTACAACATGCTCCGTGTCAATTTCTTCAAGCTTTTTTTTCAACCAGGTCAACCAACATTCTTGCATCATGTGACTTAGTTGATGCATCAATAGGTTCCAAGAAAAAAGTTCCATTTGGACTATTGACAAGAAAATTTATTAAGTGTCGCCCTCTTTTGTCTGTCCACCCATCTCACATAAGGGAACACCCGTATTATTTCCAAGCTTCCATGTGTCTTTCTTTCAATTTATTTGTTACATTTATGGTATCTTCAAGAAATGGTTCCCGCAACTGATGATAACTAGTAGGTTTCAAACCGGAACCATATTGTCACTACGACCTCAATCATAATCTCGTAACTTCTTGATTTGGAAGCATTGAATATAATGTCATTTTCATAGAAAAAATCGACAATACGCCTTTGCACTTCTTTTGTTTCCTCTTTTCCTTTTGTAGAAGTTTCAATGGTTTTTTTTAACATAACCGCACATATATCTTTCTTCAACAATCTCTTCAGGAGTCTTTCGAATCATTGCCGCAATTGACTTACTTTGTTTTTCAACTCTCATAGGTTTAGAAATCTTAAAAGTTGATTGAGCCAACTTTCTTTTCCTACTTATTCTTAAACTTGGATGCACTGAAGGCTCGGAAGATTAATTTGTTGCACCCATATTTTGATTTTCTTCTAACTCATCGTTATTTTCGGTATCCTCAGAATAATCAAATTTGGTAAATCCCTGCGATACTTTATTCATCATTTTTTTCCTCATAAATTGATGTATTTCCTTACGAATTTTCTCCTGTAGTATTAGGGCATTTAACAACATCGTCATAGCTCCCAACTAAATGTTGCTTTAACCTCTTGACTCCGAAATGCATTTGTCCATGACAAAGAGCGCATTCAATCAAATCTTTGTTATTCAAATCCGACCAAAATCCATACTTCCATCCTGGATCGAATGATTTGGTCTTTCTTGCAGGATTATTTGATAAATCTTGAACATTTTCATTATCGGCCATTAAAATATAACTAGTACAAAAAAAATATATAAAATAAAATATATAAATAATAGATCAATCATTAAAAAATGAATAAAATTATTATAAAAATCAAACATACTTAAAAATAAAATCAATCAAACAAAATACATTAAATTAAAAATGATAAAATATATAAAAAAAGGGAGACTTGGACTAAAATCCCTGTCAGTGTAATTTACTTGCAATTCAGTCCCCATTGTAAATTAATTGATCTGCAGTCCCTACTTTATTGATTAGATATGTTATAACTCCCTTTTTGTATTTTCTACTCAATGACAATTGTATATGCAACATGTACTTACGATTGATTAATAAATACTTCCAATTTTATAATATATACATACATTACCTCCCGCTCTACCCCCAGTATACGATTAGATACTTCCATTTAAATACTGCGTACCTTATTTTGTGATTTTTTTTTTTAAAAAAAATCACAGAAAATATGCACGATTTAAAAACTGAAAGCTTCCCTAACTCCCCTCACTCTCCGTTCAAGCCCTAGTTCTTCGAGAAGGAAATCGTCCCTCGCGAACTCGACGATCAGCAGTAAGACATTTTGTTCAGCGAAATGGTGAGAAAAACCGCGAATCCGCCGCGATCCCCCACAAGAAGTTCAAAAAAGTAAGTGTCTGGTCGAAACCCTCTTCATTTTATGATTTTGTTGACAATCGAATTTTATATCGTAGTTTATTCGATTGTTTGGGGTAGATGCCTTGGTCCCGTGTTTGTATGCCTTGGTTCAGTGATGAGGAGCCCTGGGTGTTCGGTGTTGTGTTTGTTCAACGGGTGGTTTGAAATTGTTCGAATTTTTGGCCAGGAAACCCGGTTCGGCCGATTTTGGGTGATTTTATCTGTTTTATCTTTGATTTTGTTAATTTTGGAGATGTATATTTTGTTTAGTTACTCGAAGTTGCATACTTTAGGTTTTTTGGTGGATTGTTCGGTAATTAGTCATATTTGTGGGTTGACAAATGCGGTATTATTAGGCACCAAGAGTTTCATTTGTTTGGTCTAATTTGCCAATTAATATACCTGAACGACACTATTGTATACTCGGAATGCGTTTTTACTCCTGCTAAATTGTGAAAAACTTTTAACTAAATTAGAGATTTGGATAATGTGGACTTATGGTTTTTACTTACAGGCCAGGGAAAGAGCACAAATCGGTAATCAGCCGATTTGCATTACCATTTTTTCATAATGAGCTGGGCAAACTGAAGCAACACATGACAGACGAACACATCACAGCTATAAAAATGACACCGTTCGGGCATTTTCTGGATTGCCCGAAAATGAAGTTTCCATGGCACCGACTTGTTGCCCTCGTCAATAGCTTTAGTTCGGAATCTATGTCCTTCAAAATTGGAAGTGACATTGAGCTTCCGTTTGAAGTTGAAGAATATTCTGTAGTCTTAGGACTACATGCGAAATGAGTCTACGTGACCGAAAACACATCGGTCGAAAGCGAATGGTTTGTTCGGATTTTTGGGAGCAAGCCACGTTCTGTAACCCGTGGCCAGGTGTTGCAGAAGCTACGTGAGGCTCTGTTGCAGGGGCTGGAGCCTCTTTCTGTTGCGGATGTTGCTCGTCTCTTTATTTTGCTTGTTTTTGCAAATATTTTATTTTGTTCTGCGAATTATTCTGTACC